TATACCAGTCCGTCCACCAACTGGTATCAATAATAGACCAAGATCCAAATCATTGTCTTATTATTTAAGCAAAAAAAAAAGAAGAGAAAGGACAAATTCCTAACTATAGTTTAGCAACTTAAGGCATGCTCACATAAGAACACTCTTTAGTTGATCTACAGCAAAGGTAAACAAATCAAGAAAGTAACATCAATTAATCAGGTTGCTAAACCAAAGTGGAATACTTACATGACAAGCTAGCATATACCACAATAAATAATATGCAGCACCGGCCCAAGCACTTTCCGCAAAGACACCAGCAGTCCTCTTTAGTTCTGATGTTAGAGGAAGAATGCGAGACAATCTAGGAATATACTGAAGCAGAACAATGGCAAACAACGCATTTTTTGTAGCCAACACATCTGATCCTTTAGATCTGTGAAGGAACCTCCAAACTACAATCTGCATGTAATTATTTAGACAGAGATCATTTTACATAAATTAGACGAAAGGCCAAAAATTTAGGCAGTGAATTTATAGAACAAGAGCAAAGAAGCAAAATAGAGAAATTTACCAACCAACATATGTATTAACAGATTTGATATTTTAAACCACAACTAGAGAAATCAACCAAAATATTAGAAGTCCTGAGTTTGCTCTTATATGCAAAGTAAGACACTAAGGGTGTATATATATATATATATATATATATATATATATATATATATATATATATATATATATATATATATATATATATATATATGACACAACCATTAGTTTAGATTAATTCTACCTAAAGCTAAGCCTTTAAGTTTCTGCCAAGTTCTTTAGCCTTTGCAAATTCATGGGCAGTATCTATTTTCTACAATTAATATTTGTTTGGCTGATGCGATTAGTATGTATATTATGTTAATCTTAAGTTGCTAGAAATATGCAAGATATTCTTGACTATGCTTCTGGTTTTCTAAGTATCAAAATTAAGAAGGCTTAGGCACCATTCAGAGATACATCATTAAGGTCAAGCTACCATACACCATATTTCTACACATAAACAATAATGCAATCTGGTATCAATAGTGTAAAATTAATTAGAAGGAGAGATTATTTCCTCATAGTAATAGTGAACAAAGAGAAACATGACTTATATAAAATCAAGATATCCAGATAACTACATAAGAACACAACAGACCTGTGGAAGTGGCAGGACTGAGAGAAAGTCAATAATAAAGTTGCTTCTTAAGTATTGCTTTGCAATCTGTGCTGGGTCGATAACAAGTTCACCTCTGCCAAAAACCCGGGTTGATGGAGCAATGTAAGCAGTACGAAATTGAAGAGCCATACGAATAAGATAGAAACAATCAATGATTGTCCGCACTGTAGTTGATGCAATCGCTAACTTCCGGTCTATACCAAGGCAAGTTGATTTTTCATTTTCATCTTTTATGGGAAGATAAAAAAATAAAGGATCCACTGATACTGCAAGAATACATGATATTACAAAAAGCCTGTTCATCAGGATAAGAAATTTATCTTGAGGATCAAAAATCTTCTTCTCAGAAACCTTCAGATCTTCTGGAAAAACTTCCCTAGAAGCACCAAACCGAAATGACCGACCAAGAAATTTAAGTCCTTCAGGTCCTTTTCTCACTCCTCCCTTCAAGGATCTTGATGTGCTCTTTGATCCTCGACCATGCCCCTCAACATTGAATGTGCATCTATTCATTCTCTCTGTGTCAGAAGCATGGGACAATCTAGGGCTTGATTCTTCCAGCCTATGAATCAAAATCAAATGTGTATTCAGTAGGACAAAGCCAAGGAGACAAATAGATTCATGTCTAATAACAAGTACATACTGTTAAGTTGCCACAGAAAAGTTAACTAAACAAAAATTTCAACTTTTGTTGAAATCGATCCTTCTTTAGCGCAAATGCATCTGCTCAAAAATTTGGCTCCTCTACAACAAATCATACATATTCACCTATTTGCACAATCAATTTCCCAAACTACAGGAATCATAGAATTCGGACCACCTTTGTTGAGTTCATGGATCACAAAAACGATACCACTTCCTCTTTCATTCACACAAGAAAGCCAGAGTGTAGTGCAAAGTTCTTGGTCAAACTTATTATTCAAGACAGATCACACTAATTTATAAATATTAACAACTTATGATGAAGATTAACATACACAACAATGTTTCATGGATAGAAAGAATCCAGCACATGAAAACTGCATAAAAAACATGTAACCCCTAGAACGGATGCACTAAGACAACTTTAAGGGAAAAAAAAGGATCAAGATACTATGGTATAACCATTAAAAACGAATTCAATAAGTGGGGAAAAATTCTTATGCTCAGTTAAATAATTAGAATTATCATGAGAACTATACCAGTTTTACATACTTTTTTCATAAATAAACATGTAAAAGGAAACATAAAAAAGCCTTCACTCCCAATTGTGTTTAGCTGCACGATGATATTTTAACATTAATGTATGTATCAGATCCACTTTCAGCAAAATAAAAAATATAAGTTTTTTAAATAGAATATTATATGCAAAAGAAATTATTAATTGTACACAATTAAAAAACTCATCAACTTAATAATAGAAACAAATTGAGATCGTTAAGCAGCCATACAATGACAGAAACATTTAAATTAAGGCATCTGTTATAACTAACACACCTCAAAAAATTTTCTCTCTGGCCATCCATGTATTGTGCTTTGTAACCAAAGTCAAACATCTTGCATATCATGTATTACAAAGACTAATAACTATTAACTACCATGATCTGACCATCTATAGGATATTGAACATCAGCAGAGAAATATCCAAGACTTGTCAGGGCCCTGCACAGAAAAGCAGTTAGAGTTATTGACCACAGCAAGGCGCATATCACAAAGGGAACTATGAAACTGATGATACTAATACGATGCTAAACTTGCATTATGCTTGAATATGAAGCCTTACTAATGATTAAGGTATTTCAGTAATAGAATAGGATAAAGACAGCATACCCAACAACAAAGAGGCACAAAATTGGCATGACCACAGCATATGAAGAAAATGTAAAGCATAAGCCACTGGACTGGACGATAGAACATGAAAATCCAAAGCAACATGACCTTGGTATCGGATTAAACTAAAGCACCACACTCTACAAAGTTTTGTGTACATAAGGATGAGAATAATTGCAATATCATTCATAAGCAATACATGAGGTGTCAAAGAAGAATTGAATCAGATGATATCATGTCACCCAACACAGTCATGTTCACCAGCTATAACAGTCAAGCATGTTCGTAGAAGAGACAGGACATGGAGCAACAGTAGTGAAACTCATCATAATAGAACTCTTCATAATTTATTCTTAATCAAATTGTGTAAGTGTTGATGGTTCTTTTTCTTTTACTTTCCATAGATGGATGAACCTGGCTTGTCGGAGCAATTAAATTTAGGTTTTCTTTCTGTGTGGCATGAGACCATGAGTGTGCAATCAAGTCCTTAAATGTCACTCCTGCTAACCAGAGTTAAACGAGGTACGTTATTTTCCAATAACGATGTTTCATGATTACACAGGAGTAGCGCCTGCCAAAGCCAACATAGTACCAACACCCATACCAGTGGTCTCGACAATAATTGGACTGCTAGCAGAAGCCAAAATAGCCTTGTTATCACAACTCATTGCAACAACAATAACTAAAGCCTACAAACTCAAACGCGAGTTTGGTAAGGATGAACCAAGGGTTTCAGGATCAAAGATCTGTGGTACCCAAGTGCAGTAGAAGGATGAAATCGATTGAGATATGCCAAGTTTGGTCTTTTTGGCTCTGATTAGGAACTTATCCGTGACAGGCATATTACTCATAATCTTCACTCGCCGTGGTGTGAATTCCTATCAACTCAGCGAGTCTAAGCCCCAAATCAGGAACAACGTCAGTAAAAGACATCAACTAACCAAGAAAAGAAATCACAGGAGTAGAAGCAAAAGAGAAAAAAAAGCGATCGGCAAGAATTTCAGGTCCAAACCAAGATTCAACCCTGGAATCGAAGCATTAGCACCAACGTTTGAAACAAACAAAAGACGACGATTAGAAGGAGCGATAGGTACGCTTTTACCTCGATAGCGCAAAGAAGGGCCGACAAAAGATGATCTCGAAGGTTTCGCCCACAAGGAAAGGCTTTCGGAGAACCGGTCGACCGTGGAGAAGCTCCGGAGGACGGCGGTGGACTGGAAGAGACGCCGAAGGGATGGATATGGACAGCACTCGACCACCAATCTTTAAGCCGCTCCCCTGAAGAAACCAAACCGGCGCTCCAAGAAATGATCAACCAAACCGTTCACACTTGAGTGATGCTACCCATACGAAAACATTTACGACCGAAGACAAGAAATGCTGCCGTGGCGCGCATCAAGGGGCGAGGTTGGGCCGGATCGTCTCGTGATGTGTGCCAAATCAGCTCCTCGCGATCGAAATCGTAACCCATATTTCGGATTCGTATCTTCCACCCGATAGATCACCTTCTCTGTTATTGGACAAAGCTGTGGGGCCTTCAGAAAATTAACCCATGATGCATCGCAAGGAAGGTAGATCCCGTGTCTTTGGTTGGAATATAATTTGTCTTTCGAACCGGTTTGCGAACTTTCTTTTCTTCCGGTTATCCCGGGTCAGGTTATTAATCGGGGCGGTCGGATTCGACGTGTAAGGTGCGGCATTCGAGGACGCAATTGCGCCGTAAAAAGACTGTCATATCCTCCAAGTTGACCAAAAAACACATGAAGAATCCACCAAATTAAAGAGAAGGTGGAGTGGCAGTTTGGTCTCCCACGACACTGTACGAGAAGGGTGGCCGCCCGTGAAGCCACGAGGGAATAAGAAATAATTAGGCCGTCAACATTTTTTGCACATGATAGAATGCATCTTTTATGGTGATTTATTGACGAGCAATGTTTTTTTAGTTCAATATTTAAAGGAAGAACATATATATATATATA